ATAAGGTTTATGGGGCAAATTATTAAAAGACAAAGCTAAGGGAGACCAGGAAATGAGTTGGTGGAGTTTGGAACAGCTAAGGGAGACAAACTTGTGTGTCATTTTGTTTTATTGTGGTGGCTTGTGTGTTGGTCTGAGGCTGGAGGCTATGCCGCTGGTGTTTCAAATGCCAGCAGGGTTACCCCCATGGTGGACAGATTTCAGCAGATCTTCCAGGATCAAACAGACTTGGAAGAAGGAAGAAGCTATCCACTTCTCAAAGAATTGGCTAGTGAAAACCTTATGAATAGCAGTGAAACACTGTCTGATTACTGGGAAAGTTTATGAATAGTCCTGAAACATTGTATGATACAGTACCAGAAGATGGGACCCTCAGGTCAGAGGGCATTCAAGATATGACTGGGGAAAAGCTGCCTCCTCAAAGTAGAGCTGACCTTAATCATGTAGATAGAGTAAAGCTTTCGGGACCTCCATTTGCTGACTCATTCCTCCATGTGCATGACTCAAAATGAGAAGAAACAGCTGCAAACATCCATTAATAACTGGAACATGGAATGTATGAAGTAAGAATCTAGGAAAATTGGAAGTTGTCAAAAATGAAATGGAACGCATAAAGATCGATATCCTAGGCATTAGTGAGCCGAAATGACGGGTTTTGGCCATTTTGAATCAGACAGTCATATGATCTACTATGCCGGGAATGACAAAGAGGAATGGTGTGGCATTCATCATCACAAAGAATGTTTCAAGATCTATCCTGAAGTTCAGTGCTGTCAGTGATAGGATAATATCTATACGTCTACAGGGGAGCTCTGGTAGCATAGTGCCTAAGGCACTTGACTATTAACCAGAAGGCTGGCAGTTCAAACCCAGCAGCCACTCCTCGGAAGGAAGGTTGGGCAATCTACTTCCATGATACCGCCTCAGAAACCCAAGGAGGGGTCGCTGTGAGTCGGGTCTGACTCAGTGGCACATAACAGCAACAACATACATCTACAAGGAAGACTAGTTAATACTACTACTTTTTAAATTTACTCACCAGCCACTAAAGCCAGTGATGAGGAAGTTGAAGATTTTTACCAACTTCTGCAGTCTGAAATTGACCAAACGTGCAATCAAGGTGTGTTAATTATCACTAGTGATTGGAATGCAAACGTTGGAAACGAAGAATCACCAGTAGTTGGAAAATATGGCCTTGGTGATAGAACTAACGCTGGAGATTGCATTATAGAATTTTGTAAGACCAACAACTTATTCATTGCAAATACTTTTTTTCAACAACAAAAACAGCTCCTGTATATGTGGACTTCTCCAGATGGAGTACACAGGAATCAGATCAACTACATTTATGGTAAGAGATGATGGAGAAGCTCAGTATCTTCAACCAAAACAAGGCCAGGAGCTGACTGTGGAACAGACTATTAACTGCTCATATGCAATTTCAAGTTGAAGTTGAAGACAATTAAAACAGGTCTACGAGAACCAAAATATGATCTTGATTATATCCCACCTGAATTTAGAGATCACCTAAAGAATAGATTTGATGCATTGAACACCAGGGACCGAAAACCAGAGGAATTGTGGGATACTACTAACAACATTATCCATGAAGAAAGCAAAAGAACATTAAAAAGATAAGAAAGGAAGAAAAGACCAAAATGGATATCAGAAGAGACTCTGAACCTTGCTTTTGAACAGAGAGTTGCTAAAACAAATGGAAGAAATGACAAGATACAAGAGCTGAACAGATTTCAAAGAGCAGCTCAAGAAGACAGTCGGTTATTATAATGAAATGTGCAAAGACCTGGAGTTAGAAAACCAAAAGGGAAGAGCACACTGGACATCTCAAGCTGAAAGAACTGAAGAAAAAACTCAAGCCTCGAGTTGCAATATTGAAAGATTCTGTGGGCACTATATTGAATGATGCAGGAAACATCAAAAGAAGATGGAATATACAGAATCATTGTACCAAAAAGAATTGGTCGATGTTCATCCATTTCAGTAGATGCATATGATCAAGAACCAATGGTATTGAAGGTAGAAGTCAAAGCTGCACTAAAGGAATTGGTGAAAAACAAGGCTCTAGGAACTGACAGAATACCCATTGAGATGTTTCAACCAACAGATGCCATGCTGGAGGCACTCACTTGTCTATGCCAAGAGATTTGGAAGACAGCTACCTGGCCATCTGACTGGAAACAATCCATATTTGTACCCATTCCAAAGAAAGGTGATCCCACAGAATGTGGAAATTATCAAACAATATCATTAATATCACATGCAAGTAAAATCTTACTAAAGATAATTCAGAAATGGTTGCAGCAGTATATTGACAGAGAACTTCCAGAAGTGGAAGCTGGATTCAGAAGAGGACGTGGAATGAGAGAGATGATTGCTGGTGTCAGATGGATCTTGATTGAAAGCAAAGATTACCAGAAAGATGTTTACTTGTGTTTTATCGACTATGCAAAAGCATTCGACTGTGTGGATCCTAACAAATTATGGATAACATTGAGAAGAATGGGAATTCCAGAACACTTAAACTGTGCTCATGAGGAACCTGTACATAGACCAGGAGGCTGTTGTTCAAACAGAACAAGGGGATACTACATGCTTTAAAACGAAGGGAGTGTGTCAGGATTGTATCCTTTCCCCATACTTACTCAATCTGTATACTGAGCAAATAATCTGAGAAGCAGGACTATATGAAGAAGCTGAACTATATATCAGGATTGGAGGAAGATTCATTAACAGCCTGTGATACGTAGATGAGACAACCTTGTTTGCTGAAAGTAAAGATGATTTGAACCACTTACTAATGAAGATAAAAGACTGTAATCTGCAGTATGGATTATACCTCAACATAAGGAAAGAAAATGAAAATCCTCACAACTGGACCAATAAGCAGCCTCACGATAAATGGAGAAAAGATTGAAGTTGTCAAAGATTTCATATCACTTGGTTGTATAATCAACACCAATGGAAGCAGCAGTCAAGAAATCAAGACTACATGCAGGGGACATCAAGCTCAATTGGCATAACATACTATGCAAAACATTGTTCCACCTCTTACTTTGGTGAGTAGCGACTGGGATCTTAAAAGTTTGCAAGCAGTCATCTAGATGTAGCTTTGGATCTTTCCTCATCCAGAGCAAAGAAGAATGAAGAAAACCAAAGATGCATGGAAACAATTAGTCCTAACAACTGGTACACATTGTGATGCACAGCCTATACAACTATGAGACCAGAAGAACTAGATGGTGTCCAGCTACCACTGTCAACCACTTGGAGGGGGATCTGTGTAGGAGATCCCAGATAGAGAGGGAGAACAATGTGGAACAAAAATCAAAATCATTTTGGGGGAGGGAGGAAGGGGAGACCAGTTTTGCTGGTCTGATAGAGCCTGGTGGAACCACTAAGACTATGGCCCCTAGCTGCCCTTCAGGTCTGGAATTGAACCCACACCTGTGGCTTCCAGCCAAACAAAAGACAGGTATATGAGTTGAGCATGTACCTGAGGTAGATGAACTCCTTGGAGAGAACAATCATGGGAGAAAGAAGGGCTGTTTATGCACAGGGAGACAGCTCAGTGGGCAGGAGTGCATGGAGGGATGGACACAGGGAAGAGGTAACTATTGGGAGGAAGTGGGAGGGGAGCTGTTGCATTGGGGTAAATTGTAGTCCATGTCATGAGACAAAGGGTATGTGAACTGTTGTATGGAAAGTGAATTTGCTCTGTAAATTTTCACCCAAATCACAATTAAAAAAAAAAAAAAGAAAAGAAAAGAAATCAGACTACCTATTGCACTGGGCAAATCTGCTGCAAAATACCTCTCAAATGTGCTGAAGAGCAAACTTGTCCTTTGAAGACTAAGGTGCGCCTAACCCAAGCCATGATGTTTTCAGTTGCTTCATATGCATGTGAAAACTGGACAATGAATAAGGAAAGCCAAAGAATTGATGCTTTTGAGTTGTGGTGTTGGTGAAGAACACTGAAAGTACCATGGACTGCCAGAAGAACTAACAAACTGTCTCAGAAGTGCAGCCGGAATGTTCCTTAGAAATGAGAATGGCCAGACTTCGTTTGACCTATTTGGTCATGTTGTCAGAAGGGACCATTCCCTAGAGAAGGATATCATGCTTGGTAAATGGAGGATCAGTGAAAAAGGAGAACGTCTTCAGCAAGATGGATTGATATAGTGGCTACAACGGTGGGCTCAGGTACAGCAAGGATTGTAAGGCTGGCACAGGATTGGGCATTGTGTTGTTCTATTGTATGTACTGTCACTATTAGTCTGAGTTGCCTTGATAGCACCTGACAAGAACAATAGACTTCAGTTGTATCAATTATTAAATATATTAGGGAGGGAGCTGTATTCCCACAAAGGGCCAAGTAGGAATCACCCTTGGTGGTTTTTTCTAACCACAGTTGACCACCTCTCACCCCAGTTAAAGTTTCTGAAATGTCTCCTTGATTGAGAACCATTTACATAGGAAGCCACTGTTCTTATAGGACATATCTCTCAGGTGTGTTGTAGTAAAAGAAAAAAAAAAAAAAAAAAGGTGGAGAACATGACTGTAAACTCCCCAAGGGCAAGGATTATATAATTAATTGCTTTTTTGTTTTACCCACAAATTCCTATTTAGGGGTTCTATAAGTAGGTGGCTTGGAGCTCTGGTAGCGTAGTGCCTAAGGCACATGACTGCTAACCAGAAGGCTGGCAGTTCAAACCCACCAGCCACTCCTTGGAAGGAGGGTTGGGCAATCTACTTCCGTAGTGATACTGCCTCAGAAACCCAAGGAGGGGTCACTATGAGTCCGGTCCAACTCGACAGCACATAACAATAACAACAGCATACGTAGGTGGCTAATACTGTATACCATTTCCTACTGTAATTTTTCCAGACCCCAGTTGTTTGGTCAGTTGATTTTTAACCATCTGTGTATTAGACAATAGTAATAATGAACCTAAGCTCCTAACCTGATTGCTTTCATACAGAATCCTCACCATGGATGGGCTCATTGAGGACATAAAGCGAAGGCGGTACTATGAGAAGCCATGCCGAAGGAGACAGCGGGAAAGCTATGAAACCTGCCGGAGGATCTACAACATGGAAATGACTCGCAAGATCAACTTCTTGATGCGAAAGAATAGGGCAGATCCATGGCAGGGCTGTTGAGGCAGTTTGTGTCACCACCTATTTTCTTTCTCAAACCCATTTTATTTTACCTTTCTCTACAGTAAATACAATCACTTTCATGCAAGAAGGCCTGCGTATACAGAAGTAATCCCACTAGTGATCAGTGGATCCTCTCTTACATTAAGTGAAAAAGAAACTTGAGTCAAAAAGTAGTCTAGGAGCAGTGAAGAAATATTCTAACGTAGTAGAATATATCTTCTGTTTCTTTTCTAATTTTTATGAACCCCAAAGCAAAGTCTTATTGGAAAAGCATCTCTCTCTTCTGCCACCCCTACACCCCCCCAAAAAAAATACTCTCCACTTCCCTCACCCCCACCTCAATTGTCAGGTAAAGAGGAGAGGTGCATTTATGTCTTGTAGTAAATTCTGCTTCTGAAACAGCAGCCTGGCTAGAGTGTTGGAATCCTTGCCCAAAGGAATCCTTAAAACAAATCTAATAATCACTCTTGGTTTTTGTTTTGTTTTTTTCTGTCTTCCCCTTTAGTTTTTCTTTTATTTAGAGGCTAGAGGACAGATGGTAAATAATAAAGTAGTAGATGGGTGGTAGAAAAGAGAATGGGGAAGTATTGAAAGAAAGAAGACCCCAGAGCCAGAAATACTACAGCTATATCATCAAGGAATTTATTTGAAATGGAACTACTCTAGCACTCTCGAATCCTAAATGGAGTGGACCCTGCAAGGTGATACTAATGCATACTAAGGTCTGAGAATTACTGCCCTACAGCACTCAAAAAGATTCCAGATAGAGATTATGCCACCACCACTTCCACCTTCACCTGTCCCCGGTTGGCATTCCTGGATATATGACTTGACAGCTGGGGGCATCTGACCAGTGTGGGAAGACTAGCTGCTCTACTTCCTCTCCTGCTGTCTGTTTCCTCTGGCCTTGCTTCCCTGCCAACCAAGCTGCTATTACAAGGAAAGTCGGTGCCAACCCTGTAGGCGAACACAGTGGGGAGGTGGAGGTGGCTAGCCCACCCCTCTTCACTCTGGCTGTAGCCCTCAGCATGGTGTTATAGAAGGAAATAAAGGAGAGCCACAGCCAAATTTCCTACCTCTCCAGGTTACTAATGTTCAGACATTGCCCCCTCGAGGTAAAGAAGAGTAGCTTCAGATTTCCTCTGACTAATTCTTTGGAATATCTTTACTCCCTTTGACTGGTACTGATATTTAAGCAGGGCCTGTAAGAAGATGTTCTGGAACCACTGTGGTCCTTGTCTCTCAAATCTTGATCATCTTTCCTCCAGTCATCAGCAGGAAGGCCTATGGTGAATAAAGCATATTATTGAGTATTGCATGGATATAATTTAGAAATAGAAGATCTCATCCTTGCCCTCTAGGAGCTTATACTGTGGTTGGAGAAATTCTATTTACACCTCCTCCTTGTTTGTTGACTGTCTCGTTACCTGATATTTCGCACTTATGACAATAGTAAAAAATTGACATGACTATTTTGCACATTTAACAACATACATCTGGCAGTGACAAACACTGAAGTGCGAGGCAAGAGTAATAGTGGCTGTGATGGTTAAGGTTATATGTCAGCTTGGCTGGGCCATGATTCTCAGTGGTTTGGCAGTTATGTACCATATTTTTTACATATCACCTGCCCATGTAAATAACAACGTGCATGCACAGAGCATGGATAGGAAACATGAGGAGGTTGTGTGCTTTGTGCCCCCCCCCCAAAAAAAACCCAACATATAATGTGCACATTGTGTAAAAAATGCCATCATCTTCTGTTTACCCATAATGCCAATTTTCACCTGATGATCTTATCTTTGGAACCTAATCATATTAAGTAAGGAGTGGGGATTTTGTTACTTCTCTACAACCTGTACTTTAACAAGTTATTGATACTTCTGAATCACTTTTCAATCACTGAATTTGGTCTTCAGTAATACCACTTTTTGGAATAATTTTGAGTCTGGCATGGTGTCGCCTCTTACCAGTTGTTGCTGCTGAAGAAAAAGGCCTGGCTTCTGCCAGAGTGGTAGGGCATGTTTATGATAGGAGAACCAGGCCTCTATCTGGCAGTGTTCCTTGAGTCTAAAGTTCCTTCTGAGCTCACTTCAAAGTGTTAAGGGCTAGAATTTACTTCATCTCTGATAGGTATCCCATGTTGTCCTAATCTCCAGTCCTGACCACTGTCCATGTTCACTGTCCATGAGCAATGATGGTTTTTTTAGCAGGTAGCCAGTTGAGAGGTCATATGTAAAGAGGTTAGCTGGCTAAGGTCCCAATCTATTTGTATTGTGATGACAGAAATAACTTTCATCCTCTCTCTCTGGGAAACTAGAAGGTAATTGTATGGTAGTTTAATGAGTAGGGGTTGCCCTAAGCCTTTTATCCCTGCATTGGATTCAGGGAAGAGATGGTTTGGTATTTACCTAGTTATTAGTATTGCAGTACTTATACTGCCTCGGAAACCCAAGGAGGGGTCGCTATGAGTCAGGTCTGACTCAACAACTTATATCCTGATCCTGGGCACCTGTAAAATCTCTTAGCAAGTCACTGCATTGTCCCTGGCAGGCCTACTCCAATCATAATTCATGACTCTTAGGTTTGTGTTCTGGAAACAGCTACCCCATTAAAATTGGGACTGTATTGAATAACATCTACTTAAAAAGTTTTATTGAAATAAAATTTATGTACAGTGATGTACAAAAAACTAAAGGTAACACCTGCTTTCAAGTGTTCAGCAGTACACTAAGTTCACTATATATTAACAGAAAAATACTAGGTAAAAAAAAATACCGAGTAATTCACTGAATACTGAGTAATTCACTGAATACTAACAGTAAATAATGGAATGATGTGTTAATGTAGGTAATTGAAGGGAATATTGAGCTTCTATTATGTGCCAACTACCTGCGTACATAATCTTTTACTGAGTTAAAAAGACCTGGATTCATTTGTAATTTGGGCAAGCTAACATAAACCCTTTTATTGGTAAATAAAATGGTGATAATATCCACAGGTTTGTGGTGAGGGTTAATGAGAATGCATGCTAAATATTTAGCACATTATCTGGTACATAGTAAGAACTCAATAAATGTTAGCAATTAATAAAATCCCTAGTTGTGCCAGCCAGAAACCTGATCCTTTATTCCTCCTCATCCAATCATCACAAGCATCCATTTAATCATAATCTCTTCTAGTTATCTCTATAACTTTGTGCCACAGCCCTGGTTTCAGCTACCATCATAACTTTTCTGGATTACTACGGCCATTTTACTGCTCTCCCTGCCTCAGTGTTACTGGCTCCAATCCATTCATACTTTAGCCGGAATGATTGTTCTAAAATACAACACTGATCATGTCACTTTCTTGTTTAAACTAGTAAGTAATTGGCTCCACATTGCTTCAAGATAAAAAGTCCAAATCACTTAGCATGGCAGTTAGGATTCTTCATGATTGAATCATATTTTTCTGTAGCCATTTGTCCTCAAATACTTTTGGGTCACAGCACATGCTATTTTCTTCTTTGCTCCCCTTTTAGCAAAATATGTACTTCAGCTCTCAGTTTGGATATTCTCTGAGATGCCTTCCCTGGTATGTTTATCAGGTACCCTTTTTTGCATCTTGCATTTACTGTCATAGTACATATGGGTCTGCCTTTCTTTACCACTGTGTTTCCATTGCCTAGTATAATGCCCAGGAGCTATGGTAGCGTAGTGCCTACTTGACTGCTGACCAGAAGGCTAGTGGTTCAAACCCACCAGCCACTCCTTGGAAGGAAGCTTGGGCAATCTACTTATGTAGTGATACCACCTCGGAAACCCAGGGAGGGGGTCACTATGAGTCGGGTCTGATTCGACAGCAAATAACAACAACAACAGTATAATGCCCAGCATTTAGGTCCTCAAATACTTCTTGAAGGAACATATGGCAATATTTTTTCTGTCTCACATACTTTGGACATGTTATCAGGAGGAACCAGTCCCTGGAGAAGGACATGTTGGTAGAGGGTCAGCGAGAAAAAGGAAGACCCTCAATGAGATGGTTTGACAGTAGCTGCAACAGTGGGCTCAAACATAGCAGTGATTGTGAGGATGGTGCAGACCTAGCAGTATCGTGTTCTGTTGTACATAGGGTCCCTGGGGAATAGTACCTAACAATAATTCTGTATTAAATGTGTTTCATGTTACATTTAATCCTCACTCTACCCTTTGGAAGAATAGACTTCTCATTTTATAGTTGAAGAAACACTCTCAGAAAAGTTAAGTTACCCTGAGGAGTCACAGCTAGTAACTGGGAAAGAATTTAAACTCATCTGATTTTAAAAATTGGGAATAAAATCAGTTTCTAGAAAAAATATTTCCCTATGGGAAATTGTGAAGGTGGCACAGGACTGGATAGTGTTTTGTTCTGTTGTATGTAGCATCACTGTGAGTTGGAATAGATTCCATGGCACCTAGCCTAGCGACTATGGGAAATTTCAACCCAGGCTGTTAAAAGCACTGAAGCAAAATTAAAAATTTACAACTACCCTGAAAAATTGGAACTCATTCACAATTTAAAAGACTTTTTGAGTAGATACTACAAGAGAGACATTGGTTTTAGGTGCTGTAGAGACAACGAGGAAACAGGTGTGACTGAGCTGAGCAATGTTACCAAGTTTAGTACTCAAAGCCAGGTTTTATTTTATCATGTTGCCCCATTGGGAAAGATAGGTTTTGGTGTGTATTTGTCAAACTTTTAAAAACCAGCTTATATATACAAAATCACATGGTCCCTGGGAAATTCTAATCATAACGTCCTAGAAAATAGCTACAATTTTTGGTGAGCCTACCATCCGAGAAAGCAGCTCTGTTGGTGCAGTGTGGTTAAGGCATTTGGTTTGAACCCACCAGCTGCTCCACAGGAGAAGGATGAGCTGGTGCCTCAGTAAAGTTTTACAGCCCTGGAGACCCTATAGGGCAGTTCTACTCTGCCCTGTAGGGTCACAGTGAGTCAGACTCGACTTGATGGGAGTG